TGTATTTGTCTGTAAGACTTTTGTTTAGGTAAAAGAATTATAGATGACATCTGAATAAGATTGATCAGTGTGAAAGTTGTCACTGGAATATTGAGAGACAATTTTTGCCCAAAAACCAACGGTATAACAAATGTGTATTTCAAGGAATGGATAGCTGACTAATCTGAATTCAATCATCGCCGTTTAAATAAATTTTTACGAGAGAGAAGGAAAAAAAATTTGTTTTTCTTTGTTCAACTTCATTTTTTCACTTAGTCTTTCGAGTTGTACACAAAAATGCTATTGGAAAAAGACGAAGAAGAGGAGGAAGAGGAAAGAAAGCGCATAGATCCTTTTCCATCACTACGTTTTTGGTTAAATTAAAACGGGGTAACTGTTGCAATTTTTTGTCAGTCGTTTTAAACTGCTGTACAGATGTCATTCAGATTAATCAGTGCGTTAATATTTTTCGGCAAGAAAGAAGAAACAAAGTTTTTTAATAATAATTATTATATCAGTAGAATTTGTTTAATAATTTTCTGATATTTGCTATATGTATATAAGAAAAAAAATTTTTTTTCTGTCTGTTTGTTGTACGGCCACGGAGATGAATCGCTAGAATTTATTGCTTTAAATTATAACCTTTTTTTTATTACGTTTACTTTTTCTTATTCCCATTTGTCTTAGACACATTCAAAGCTGGTACAATTTGGTTTTCAACTAAACTAGCAATCGACTAAGTTGTAGAGATTTTCAAGTTGTGAAAAAGAATTTCTTCAAAAAAGATAAGATGTTTTTTTTTCGTTTGCTGCTATAGATGTACTTTTTGAAAATCGATGACTATTATTGCTGTTCTGTAACAACACCGGTTTTATGGTGCAGCCAACACATATAGCTAAGAAGTCATGAGCATTATTGGTCAATGTTCATGTGCTGCAGAATTTAGGAATTTTGATAAGATTTTTGTTGTAAACAGAAAAGAAAAAACGAAAAAAATTGAAAAAATTAAGTTGATAATGCTGAGCTGATTAATGCAATTGAATTAGTGTTTTACTATCTCTGTCAGTTGAACAGCATATGTTCAATAAACTTTTCATAATTATGCAAGGGAGAAAAAACAACAACAATAACGAAAGAAAACTTGCAAAACAAAACTGACGAAATGTTTGAACTTTAGTGTTGCCTTCTGTCTGTATTTTTGGTGGTTTATCCAATAATTCTTCAGCGCAATAGTTGCTGGATGTTTGACTTGAAATTGGTTGATTCCATGTACCGTTACAGTTCTGTAAACTAAAACCTGTCTACAGCTAGACCCCGGGCTAGTCTGGGCATTTTTGTTAACCGTCATTCAAAAAATGCTCAACTAGCAGTAAGCTACTCGTTGGATTCATTTTTCCAATTTTCTTTTTCTGTCATCTTCATTTCAGTTGTGAAGTTTTTAAATGAAAACGATGTTGAAAAGACCTGGAAGTATTTACTTGAATAAACTTATTTCTGAGCAAATTCCTCTTTTTTTTTTTGCAGATGCTAAAAATAAAATTATCTCTCTATTCTTCTTTTATTTAGTGTATTTATGTCACATTAAAAGTATAATTAGTATAATCATTGGAACAGAAAAAAAAAATATGTATGTTTTTTTTTTTTTTTTTTTTTTT